ATATATATATATATAAAAACACAAAACAGAAACTTCATGCACCACGTGGACAATGCGCCTGCTCAAACTCTGTCTCCTTCCAACTCCCCTTCCCTGATTGGGAAAAGTTCCTGTGCTTTTATATAAAGCACATTGATTTGAACTATTGGCAACTGAGAATCAACATCATCAAAATGATCACATGATCAATATTCTACTCCTGATCTACATTCTAACTGGTTCTTGCAGGTTGTCCAGGCTCATGTCTCCTGCGTGTTCATTAATCATCGTAATGTCTCGGTGTTGTTCCATCTGGTACTTGTGATAAATCAGAGCGGGTCGTGGGTTTTACTATTCACTTTATGTATGTGATATATTTCGTTACCTTTGGAGATTTGCCCATCTGTCCCGGCTGTCACGTACAATTTCACAGCGAACGTGATAAAATGCTGTAAAATACAATGAAGTTGTCACTTCTTGAAAACAATCCCCAGCTGATCAGACGCTTGTATTTCATTGTTGTCATGTTTGACATTACTGCAGGCAGCATGAAAGATGAAGTCGGCCGAGATACTGAGAAAAGCAATTTACGGTTCTTCACAGAGTTGTGTATAAATACACAGCAATTGCGCTGCCCCAGTCCATAGATCACTTAGAAAACATATTTTCGATATGTGTGCTTTCTAAAGTCTAGTTGCGTCTTTTGGGACCTCTTAGAAAAACCATATTTGAGGTAATTTTCTATTGTACATTAAAAAGCAATGTATTTGTTGTATTTTTACTCAGTTCAGAGGGAAAGATCCATTTGATATAAAACAGTAAATCTATTGCTGCTAATATCTTGCAAGGTTATCACAGTAGTCTTAGTACAATGGACTTAAACCGCTCATCACTCCAGCAAGTCGAGGTCAGAATGATTGCTCTCAACACACAAATATACAGTAATTACATTTTGGGAAAAATACACTTCATCACTAGTGAAGATATGTGCATGATCCCGACTGGTAACGAGTGCTGGAAACTCTATTGCCCCAAGTTTGAATGCAACTTTTTGCGATATTTCAATTTCCCATGCTGAGCTGCAGTTTTACATCAGCAATATTCCTCTGGCTTTACCTTTTATTGTGAATATCACATCTTTTTGGAACAAAACTCTTCAAATATTTAGAGGTCAGAGCCTGAAAAGCTCCGAGGACATGTCTGCACATGTAAGTACAGTCTTTCAGGCTGCTGACGTTCAGACAGGGTGGAGAGAGCGTGAATACGTGGTTCAGCATTTCTTTCTGTTTATCCAGCAGCTTGCTCCCTTTAATCCAAGATGTGCCAACGCCCTCTCAAAGCGTTCTGAACTTGCTGAAGCGACGTTTCGCCTCAGAGCTTTCTCATAATTTAGGTCATGCAAAAATCAGACACTACAAATGGATTTTCTTTTACCAAGACGTGCCAAAAAAGGTTCCCCTGAAGTGAGTTCCGCTGTCGTCCGTCAAAGTGAATATTGTAAGACGGTCTTGTAAATATGTCGAGGGATTATATCTGGGCTAGTCAAGCAGCTACGAGCCCATCAGGTCTCAGTCCCTGCGGGGGAAGCAGCATCAGAATCAGCAGAGGGCCCGCCTCCTTATCAGTTAATGGATGAGTACACCGGAGTGTGTCATTTGAATTGATGAGCCCCAACATACGACCGTCGAATGGGTGGGGAGACGAACACTTTCATGATTTATAGCAATAAAGGGTATCAAGATCAATCAAGATAATAAAAAAATACATGGGGGTAGTGAAGACAAGTATGTGAGGGGGGGGGTCATCCCAGAATTGATTGCCGGAGCTTTTTGTTTGCCTTGCATGCCATATTGTTATCTCTCATTAAAAGAGTGCGTTCAGAGACTTGTACCGAGCCATAAATCACTGGGCTTGGATTTGGTCAGGCTTAAGGAGGAGTAATCAATTACATTCTACCAGGCATAGAGGAGGAGACTGAGCCTGCACCACAGGCTGCTCTCATTATCATAATGATCCGCCTTAAGTCACGCTGAGTCAAAAAATGGAGGGAAGAGATGAACGCATGAACTAGTTCTGACAAATAATACAAACTGAAGAAAGTACTTTGGATTTTTAAAGCGGAATTACAGTCCTTTGTAATAATAATACGTTGTTTTACATAATTCAGTAATAAGAGTTGCATGGAGGGGGGGACATTCTGTGGTGAGGGGCTAGTTGGAAGTTTTAATGTCAGCGACCATGACGGTGAGATTTATTTTCTCAGACATGTCAACAGTTAACCTGATGATAATAAATCAATCCCAATCAGCCTTTAAAGGGCCACTCCACTCATATTACACGAGTCACTTCACTAGCTATGGGCAGGTATACTAATGTCTTATCTTGCACTAGGAAAGTCTGACAAAATAACTCAAGTGACATCCTGTTTTTTTCCTTCTATTTTAAGCCAGCATTACAGATTTGGGGCCTGGAGTTTGAAAGCCGTGGGTGTTTGCAGTACCCGGCAGGAAGGGTCTCATGAATGACGCTTTCATGGGAAGTGTACTGTGGGACGGACAGTTTTTGGAGATTGAGGGATTGGTTATTAGGGATATAGTTAGAGATTATGATCAGAGAGTGTAAAAACTTTCTTCTTTCAAAAAGATACAGCTCAAAGTATTGATGCACTTGAGTATGAATAAACACACTGAACGCATATTAATGTTGACCCAACTGTTGTTGCCACATAAAGGAAACCCCACAAAAGGTGCGTTTGATGGAGGTGAGATGACAAAAGTATACTTAGTGTATCAGCGGAGTCTGAGCTGCCTTTGTCCTCAGTGATGAGGCACTGAGATGCTAATTGCAGGATCATATGGGACTGTACCAGGTCCCTCTAACAGATGGGGGGGGGGGGGAGTCTTGAGTCAGATAAATAAACCATCAGCCCGGCAGGGAGACATCGCCATGTGATGGAGCCTCATGCCAGCGTCCTGGACAACTTGGTCCCAAGATAAAACAACGTGCTCCTTAAGAACTGATGGACCAATAGGAGCGGATGGAGGGCAGCCACCACTGCTAAACCAATGCGAGGGAAAGATGGTCGCGATGACAAGAAAAAACAAACGTTGTTAGCCTTCAACCATCAGATCTGGACAGCAGGGGTCTGTGCTGATTGGATCGTTTCATGTCAATGCCAGTCGGACATGCTGCTGCTGTATTAGTTGGGGGTCCGACATGAAACACAGACAATAGACTTTTCTTTGCCTCAGGATTCCTGCAGTCATTACGACAAGTTGGCAAATTTACATGAGCAGAGCGTCTGATTGTGTTAGTCCATTGAGAATGCGCATGCTGTATTTAAAGATGTATTAAACAAGAGAGCAATGGGGGCTTTTATTACCCAGCGTTAAACTCTACAACAGTAATGCTGAATAAGTACCAGAAGCAAAGTGGGATTGAAACATTTCTTTTCAAACCCGAGGGATACCTTTGTGGGTATTCTGTCACATGGACCACCCGCTGGATTGTTGGACCCTCCACACTCTATACAGCTGGATTGAGTTGTGTCTTACTGTAGCCACCCTCACCCATTCATACATACTGGGGATTGGAACTTCACACGGATTCTTCTTTCCCTCGTGTGGTCACATCTCTGGCGACCCGACGACTCGCACAAATGACAAATTCCACCAACATTTGAAAGCTCATCATATATAAAACAATAATTTATTATTTCTCTCATTTTACAAGACATCAAATTGTGAGGCTAACTAAGGATTTGTTAAGCTGTTATTCCGTCCGATGCATGAAACCCTAAGAAAGCAAAAGCGACTACGACGTGTGTCTTAACAAACACAGACATTTAAGTTCCAATGCGAGGAAACATCTTTGTCTAAAGATAGGTACATGCACAATGACATCACGTTATGACGTCCTCTACATTATGTAACGGATGGTACATCGCGGGTGGTATTAACTTTGGGAAATCAGCACCATTAGAGAGAAATTAACACTAAAAAAGTGGATTTGTTACAAAAATTGAATTTTTTTTAATTTACAAAAGTCCTTTTGAAAAGGATTATGTGTTCTACCTTGCAGGAAAATAGCATTGTTTCCATAAAAGCATTAAGTATGCATAACAGTAAAATACTGATAAGAGATATATAGTACGAACAAAATAATGTAAAATAGTGTAAATGCTGGCTGTTTACTTATGGCACGCGGTCTTTATACACCTTCAAAAAACCTTCCAAAAAATATTCAAAAGAGCACAAAAAGGTAGAAAATGTTATTGAAGAATTTGAAAAAAAACAAAAAAAGCTTCCAAAAGCATCCTCAAAGCCATGTCCCATTCATGTCGAGTCCAACCATCGTCATAAAGACCTTCTCTTCACTGCAGTGGTGGACAACGTTCGTCCAAGAAAGGCTCTCCTTATTTCCTATTTACAAAATGTTGCCACATTGAACGAGGCAGGAATCTCTACCCCACCTGGTAGTGTCCTATGTACAGTCCGTTACCCTCCGGTCCGTCCTCCTCTGGCTGGCCCGCCACCTGAACTCGGAACCAGACTTACACTGTGGTCACAGACAGGAGTGAGTTGTAAACCCTTGTGCCATCTGGTGACTTGGCACCGTGGGTCAGCAGTTCCTGGATGGTCATCCAGTTGTCAAATATTTTCTTATTTCTCTTTTTCATCATCTTTTTGTGGCTGAGTTCGATGATGTTGGGTTCCCTCCTGTCGTCTGGGCCCGACTGCTCCTTCAGGCAGTCCGCTCGGCTCTGCTTCATGAACTCGCGGCGCTGCCTCTGCTCTTTGGAGCGGACTGCGTGCTGCTTCCTCTCCTCCTTGCTCCAGTAGCGGCCCATCTTCAGCTCGCTGATGGCGTCGTCGTCCGTGGTCATGCCGCTGCGCTCCGCGTGGATGCGCAGGGCGCGCTCCCTCAGCAGCTTGTCCCGCACAGGCCGCTTGGTGATGTAGCGCGTGCCGTCGCTGCGGATCTTCACCTTCCACTCCATCTTGGGGTCCAGGTCGCCGGGGCCGATGGGGTCCCGGCACATGCTGACCAGGCTCATCTGGCTCTGGGCGTACTCAACGGCGGATTTCTGCTGGATCAGCTGCATGTAGCTCTGGTAGTGCTGGGCATGGGCAGGGATGTGGGCATGCTTGTACGGCGAATGTTGCTTCCGCTCCTTGCTCTCTGCCGGCGGGGATCCATCTGGATCCTTGGTGGAGCCTCTGCTCCGGCTGGGGCCGCTGGCTTCTTGGACGGGGGACATGAGAGGTTTGGGGTCATTGCCGTTAGAGCTGGTGGAGCCCGACGGTCCAGCCGGACCCTGATTCTCTGCCTCTCGTCGGAGCGAGTTGTCTGGAGACAGCTCCAACGTGAGAGGGGTGCTGCGGCAGCTCTCGCCAGTGTTGTACGCGCTGGAGCTGTCTTTGTCCGATTTCTCCGGCAGCTCTGTGATGTCTGAGAGCTCGTGGTGGCCCGCGTCGATGCTGGTGTTGTAGTTACGGAAGCCGCTGTTGTGGAGCATCCAGGACTCGCGGCACTGCTCCCTCAGCTGCTGCATCTTGTGAGCGCGCACGATATTCAAGCACTCCAGCTCGATGGTGCGCAGCTCCTCGTTGAGCATCTCCAGCTCCTTGTCCACACCCTCTTGGTCCTGACCTGCTACGCCCTGGTAGTAAAGACCCTGGGCCCCGCTGTTCCTCATCTGGCACTTCAGCTCCAGGAGTTCCCTGAAGCGCTCGCACTCGTCAGCCGGGATGCCTAGGAAGTCGGCGTCGGCGTAGTCCGCGGAGATGAAGGACTCGCTGCTGAAGGGCAGGTCGCTGCTGCCGAGGGTGTCCTGGCTGTAGGCGAGCTTTCTGCAGCTGCCCAGCGTGTTGGAGGCCGTGGTCTGGTCGTCGCCGAGGTTCTCCTGCTCCGAGCTCTCGTCGTTCCGCGTGCTCTCGTCCGTGCGACCAACGCCGCTGTCCTTCTCGTGGTGGTTGGACAGCAGGGTGGCCGTGTCCGTGGTGCCCCCGTCCTCCTCGTGCTTCTTCTGGGAAACAAATAGACGACAAAATGACTCAGAAACAGTGAGAACTGAGTTGTATGATTGTTACCACTGCCACTAAAAGTGCTACTTTATTTACACTCAGAGAACCCTTCAGTATTAAATCACAATCTTCAACAAAGGCTTTGAATACTTTTTTTCAACGAGCATGTGCTTTTCCATATGAAAAAGCGTTGCTAAAAGAAATGTTGACAGCAGCAGCTGTCTCTCTGCAGGATTGGCTCGGCCAAAATAATCTATAGATGAACATATGTGTTGGTGCAGATTGGTGGTGCTAGTTTGCCTTTACACGCTGTGCATGTGTGTGTGTGTGTGTGTACCTGCTGCAGCATGCTGGCGGTGAACTGCATGGCCTGATGGTGCTGCTGCTCCAGCATGTCCATGTGGAGGTCATCCAGGAAGTCGTTCCTGTCATCATCCATCCAGCCCTCGTCCAGCTGAGACGCATGTTGGGGAAAAAGAAGAGAGGCCTCATTAGATGCAAATGTTTCACCTTCACAGAAAAATATGAAACTCTGCTATTGAAAGTCTTACTCTCATTTGTTTGCATGAAAGACCTTGTAATGAACCTTTACTGGGTTCACACCACTAATGACATTCCTAGTACCTGGATCTCTGGTCTGGCCACCAGCAGAGACACATTCTGGTTCCCCTCACTGGTCAGCAGCGCTACAGCATCCTCCCGGTTCTGGATCTCAATACCATTGATCTTGGGGGACAGAAGGGACAATTTCAACACCCGATCTTTTCAAAATAAAAACGAGTTTGTACATTTATGTTAATTTTACCGCTCGACACCACTCCTTAAAGAACCTAACATAGATGAAATATTGTTTTTTTATATTTTTGATTAATTTACAAGAAAGCAATGGAGTCCTAGAAATATGCATGAACTGAATATTGAAGAAAGAGAAAGTACAACTGCTGAGATTTCGGTGATCTTACCTGAATGATTTTGTCCCCTTCTCTAATTCTGCCGTCCTTTGCAGCAATGCTGTTTGGATCAATCTAAAGAACAGAGAATAAATGATTACTGACTAACTCGGTCCACTCAGGACTTCTGTGTCTTCCACTTCTGACTTAAAGAAAACATGGTCACTGCTGACCGTCCCAGCGGTCACTACTTACTCAGTGAAGTTGATCTGAGAGCTACGCTGCACCACATACCTCACTAATGTAGATCCCAGCCTCGTCCTCATCGTCAGTCCTGTAACAGATCGTCAGGCCGAGCTTGTCTTGGATGTTGGCTCGGTATAAATCCACTTCCTGGTAAGACACACACACAAAATAATATCACGTCCATTTGAAACTATTAGCTTTTTTTTTTTTTTTTTTTTTAAAGATCGAGTATAAAATGGTTGTATATATTTTCTCATGTTTGTCTGGACGGACTAAATACACCGACTGCGAAATGGGTTCTTGGAGTAACACCGATCCATCAATCACTGTAATGAATCTCTCAGCTGGACGCCGGGAAGCCATTGGCTTCCTTAGAGGGCCTGCCGACAGGATGAGAGACGATGCAGTGGACCGCAGATGGGCGGAGCGCCGTTTCTCACTTGTCAACGGCCGTAATCTCACAGGTACAGATAAAGATTCGAGCGCCGCTGTTCCTCGAGGGCAGAGGACGGGCTCTGACAGGGTTAATCCGCCCCAAAAAACAGAGTCTCGTCTGAATGCTGAAGACTATCTTACAGGAATAGTTTGACATTTTGGCAAATACTTTTACTGCTCCCCCCCGCCAAGAGTTAGATGAGAAATGTAGTAACGTGTAAGAACTCGTTTTTACGGAGAAGCTCTGGGGTCACATGGTAGAAAACCATGCCACAGTGTCTCTATCACATTTTTATAACCCCACATTGTATATTTATGGCACTCAGTAAATTTTATATGACCTCGTTGTACTTTTGGGCATTTTTATCGACCACGGTGTCAATTTAATACGGTACTGTAATATTGCTATCGGGAGTTATATCCGATCAGGCAGTCTAGTGAGTGTAAAGTTTATAGTGACCATATTATTCGCATATCGTCGAGAACCCTTTGTTTGATATATGTTGTGTATATTGATCGAGGAATGCTAATGCCCACTGAGCAAACCCTCCCCTCCCCCCTACTCATACCCTTGCCCATTGTTTTTTTTTGCATTTTTCTAAATGTTGCTCTGGTTGGAGTTAGGCTAAGACCAGGCTAAGTTTCAACTTAGGAACAGTTGGTTCCCGGAGTCTTGGCTGGTTGCCGGACAACTTTACGGCTTTGACAAGCTGCCAGACAAGAATGCAAATAAACCTAATTCCCAGAGCGTCAATCTATTCTTTTAACCTGCTGAAAAGACAAATACATCACTGAGTTAGGCTAAAAAAGACTAACTTACTGGTAGTCACTATGCATTCCGTTATTTCTAATCTATTTTTGTGCGAAATAGAAACATTATGATGTATACAAAGTGACAAAGCATGAAAGGAAACTGATCTCGAGTGGGGTCAGTCTGTGAGGACGCCGGGGTTACTCAGTGTTGGTCTTCTACACATCTGCCTTTAGGACTTCACCTTCCTGGTCTCAGCCTCCGAGCTCCTCCGTGAATACTATTAATACCAAGCAGTGGGTGGCTGGGGTTTCTAATGGGGGGGGGGGATGTCGGGGTCGGCAGAGGTCACTGAAGGAGCACAGCGGAGGCTTGATCGTGGCCTCATTCGGGCATTGTTAGCGTGCATCATCAGATTCATCCCCGCAGACCCATTATCTGTGCCATCTAATTATCCTCCAGCCGAGGAAGACGTATTAGGCCCCGTCACTAATAAGTAATGATATCACCGCTGTGCATCTGTTGGAACAGACCAGCAACTCGATCCCTTGTCTGGAGGACATCTCGGTGTCTGTATAGAGGGAGAGTGCCCCATCAATAACTGGGATGTATCAGTACTTGTGGTCGCTATTGGCCATTGGACTGGAGACACGGAGGCGACCTCGGGTCTGCTTATGTAGCAAATGATGCACGGCCGTCCGAATGTAGATCTTCATTGAGACGAGAGCGGAGATGGAGAGAGGGTGGAGTTGGTGTTTACCTCATATTCCAGCTCCTCGCGCTCTATGTCCTGCTGCATGGCCACCAGGAAGTCGTTGGGGTCAAAGTATCCATGTGGAGGATGCCTGAGAAAAGAAAAAGAAAGTAAGATTAACTGGGAAAGAGTAAATGCTCATTTAATAAAAACACATTTAAAAAAAAATAAATATCCTTTTCTAACACATTTGACAATCTGGATTTAACTTTGCCCCAGATTGTGAAAAAATGAATGAGAAGGAGAGAGGAAGTTAGAAATCACTCTTGAATCAGATATATTGAAGCTAGACCCGGAGGCTAATCACAAATTAACATACCGTGTTATTAATTTGTCTCAGAAATCAATTAAAGGAATCACAATTATTCATTAAAGGGCAACTGCTGCTGCCACGGGGTTTGAAATGCAGCCAAAGTCTCTGAGCTCCGGGGGCTAACACACACACACACACACACACACACAAACAATAGATGCAATTTGTGAATATGCAAATATGCATGAACTAAACCGTCATTTAAATGCGGCTGTGTGCCGCGGAGGAGCTGTCATCTCCCGTAAGTCACGGGGACGTTTTCCTTTCAAACGTCCGACGCGTCCTGGGTGTTCACAGCTGTGTGGTCTGGAGAAGAAGATAAGGTGTCGCTCTCTTAATTGACTGTTAAAGTGAAAGGTCTGGCTGTGTCTCTGAGAGTGAGGTGACCTTTTTAACACTGCCGAGTGTTCTGAATCCAAAGAATTCCTGTATCTTCAAAATGCAAAGTGGGCTTTTTCCGGAAGCGTGTTTTGCTGGATGCTTTATAAAAAACGATTTTCTACCGAGCAGGTTGCCGGTCAAGTGTCCGCACACTCGGCTGTATCCTGGCACTGGGGGACCACACACGGCCCAGATTAGGTTGGAGTTTGTCGAGGCGTATTGCTTCAGGTACCGATAAGATGATGACGTATGTATGGTCCAGAGGTGCTGGTTTTGCATAATAGATGTAATGTTTTTTTTTTCTTTTTTCACGCATCGCTGTTGTCCATCTGAAAGCAGCCTTATGCTTCATTCATCCCTGGTCTGATCTGTATACGAGTGCAGAATGTCGGCAAGAATTTAGGTATTGGAGGCGTTTGGTGTTCTGATTTCCGTCTGTAGTCCGAGCAGTATCGACCAATCACATTTGCAGGCATTGGTTGCGTGTGGAGATGAAAAGAAGCCTAACTGCGATCTCTGATCGCATCGCCTACGGTTTGAAGACGATGTAGCTTTTCACTAGTAAAAAAAAAACCCTGCTAAAAAAGTGGCTACTTATAATCCTAAATAATCCGGTAGTAGACGTTTTCTCTCAATGCCAAATCCAGTCTCGAGTCTCAAGTTGCTAATCGGCCTGTAAACAATGACCGTAGTTTCCCTCAGAGTCTAAATCGTTGTCAGACTGATTGCCAATGGGTTCTGAGAGTCCAGCAACCCAGGTGTGTCAGATTAAGGCCACTGAGGAGCCATTTTGGCTATGTACTGTAGGACAGGAATGCATGTATGTAACCACGTGGTCATTGTATGCATTATGCGGACAATAAATAAATATGTCATTCAATTTCTAAGCCATCTTCTCATTCTAGCAGGGCTTTCTCTAGGTCTTCATGAACCGAGCTGGCACTTACTCCTCTGGGAGCAGATACTCCTCCAGCTCCGTCATGGGGGGTGAAGAGGGGGAGAGCTTTGTAAGGGCCATGATGTGCTGGAGGGTGATGTCCGTCTGGGTGCTGATGTCCGAGACCTGGGCGTCACCAGCCGGGCCGACCGCTTCTTTGGGATGCGGGGCTCGGCGCAGAACCTGGACCACGATGGGCTCCTTGGCCGTGCGGAAGGCCTCCACCGCCTGGTCGTGGGTGGTCTTGGAGAGGTCCTTGCCATTGACCTGGAAGAAGACGAAGAGAGGACGAATCATCAATTTTTGTTAAGAATTCTGTTTTTTTTAAATGAAGAAACTAGATAGAAGGATGCAAAACACGTCAGCTGTTATTCCATTTGCTGTTGTGGTCTCTTAGACTGAAGATGACGTTCAGTACTCCTCACTGATTTAATCATGATTAAGATGATTAAGGCCTCACGTGAAGCACTGCGCCCACACAAACTCAACAGCGATATTCTGTAGGAGAAACGACTCATTACTGCCTCAGCTTGTTTTACAGGGTCACAGTCGGACCCGAGCAGAGTGAGACCTTAATTAGGATGAGTCTCTCCTTAATTCATCAAAGTCATTAGCCGAGGCTGCGCGGCGGGGCCCTCATTTAGCAGAGTAATTTAACAGAGTAATAAGATAAATGCGACCTGCCGTCGGAGGCAGTGGAGTGGGTGCGGCGCGTTAACCTGAGAATGATTCGAGCAAAAGGCTGCGTCACGTCGCAGACGACAGGCCAATTAGGTTTGCTTGAGCCACTTTAAGGCCTCCGTGTGCTGATGGAAGATGAGCGCAGACCCTTTAAAGTTCTCAATGGAATGTGTCACCGGATCCAATGAGACGAAATCTACACACAGATCTACGCTTATTCCCAAAGGTCAGGCGGAGCGCACGGATTATATTTTGTTTCGGCCCAAATGCCACCGTCAGTTCACCAAAGCATCTACTGTGGGAGACGTAAAAAAAACACCCCAAACAAGCATTAACCCAGTGAGCGTAAGTGTTGAAGACCCCCCCCCCCCTGCATGCGTATTGCATCCTAGGTCACCCGGAGCCGCTGTTCCACTTTCAATCACCACATCATGCGGACTTTGTCAGTTTGCGATTCCTGGATGCGTGGAAAGCTTTGATAGGATCTCAGGCCCGGGGATCCTCTCGTTTCACAGACTCGACGCTCCCTTCCTCCTGCCTCTCCCTCCGATGCAGACACGCACACACCCAAGAGTGTCCTTAGAATCTAGTTACTTTCTAGCATTTGGAGTCGCAGGTAAATAAATCCCTAGCGTTCCTTTTCACTCCTCCCGACAATCTAACATACACGCGAGTCCGTGTTTGAGGATTCATTTTCTGATAAACGCGTGGCTGGTTGGCGCGCCTGCCTTCAGGCCGTGAGTGTCTCATTCGCATTCACGGCACACTTTGCAGACTTTACTGTGGTGCTGCGCTTTAATCAGCATTAATATTACACCTCCTCCAGGGAATGAAGGCTGTGTATACACACACAACCTGCCTTTGACCCACACAATGTAAAAGCTGAGGACATGTTTCTATATAAGAGTACGTACAGAAACCAAAGGCACTGGGCTCGTATGTGTGTGTGTGTGTGTGTGTGCGCGCTTGGAGGAAGGACGAAGAAGGCAGGAAAAGGAGGGAACTTAATGCAAAAATCAGAGGAGGCTATGTGCCCACTAATAACCAGAGCAGATTAATGCTAATCCTGGGTCTGCAGGATAATTGGATCATCTCAGCGGATTTAAACTTCTACTTCTTCTACATCAAACCTTAACAGCTCATCTGTTCGCAGTTTGCTCTGAATAAATCGGCATTGAGAAAAGCGTGTTATCATATCACAGAATGCTAATGTAGGAAACAAAAAACAAAGCAACCTTGAGATTTAACACCGCTCTCTCCATACAGCAAACCGGCCTTGGCTTAAAACCAACCCAGTAACACCACACCATAAAAGAAGACGTCTAAATTCCTCTGTGCTGTTGCTGCTGGTATCGGTAATAAGCCTTCCTTAAATCACACGGGACCTCACATCCTCAACCATCTTTGTTTCCCACAGCGAGCCGTGATGTTGTACATCAGCTGAGGAATACAAGCGCCTTTGTGCCTTCTCCTCTCTGCATGCAGGCTCCAACAATCAAACCTGGTTGCCAGGAATCCCGGGGGCTACTTGGAGGCAGTGAACCAGAGACAAAGCCTTTAGCCCCCCCGTCTTGTTGAGCCCAGAGCATTCTGCCTCAGTGCTCTAAATGTTGCGGGGGGGGGGGGGGGGGGGTCCCCCACGAACTCCATTCACTGCGCTCACCTCTGACATGGAGCGGCCCTTTGCGGCACACTGGGAAAAAACACACAACGCTCCCCTGACACAATACACAACGCTTCACCGCCACTGAGCTCCAGCCATGCCGCGTTAACTGCGCCTTAACGCCGTGAAGAGCACCGACCTTCGAGCTGACGCAGTAATGAGCCGGAGAAACCGGACTCCGAGTGCCTCCTTAACTGTCCTCTTAAGGTCAGATTTACCTTTTGCGAATACCAATCACTTGAGCCGGCGTTCACGTTGACACAGCGACGGCTGACGCGCAGAGATGACTCCGGTGCATCCTCCAAGGAGGGGTCTCCGCTACATCCATTTTAATGACGAGAGGGCAGCCAGGCCCTACTTAAAGGAATACTGATTAGGTCTAAATCACACGTCTGCTGTGTCGCTGTTCGGTGAGGAATTTACACAGCTGGGGCTTTGTTACTCACGGACTATTTTTCTTTCATTAAAATATAACATCTGACCTCTACTGCAAAAGTGGAAATCGCTGGACCCGTGTCCCTGCACAAGATCTGGTTTCGGACGTTTTTAAGAGCAAAAAAATAATAATTTGGTTTTGATTTGATTTTGGTTTTCATGAGATATCTATGCCAGTCTTCAGCTCGCTGGGGAATAATTAGGGGCAGCAGGGGTGAGCCATATCTTCCATGGAACGCACATCAAGCTGGGGTTGAGATGCTGATGTGGGAATCTGTGTGTGTGTGTGTGTGTGTGTGTGTGTGTGTGTGTGTGTAATCAGCGATTGCTAACCTGCTGCCAAAGATGCTTATCTGCCAGGCCGCGAGCGCCGTCTCTTTCATTATTGTCTTTGTAATATGGTCGATGGGCTGAGGCTGCCTCAGCTTTTTCGTTTGTTCTTTATTTAATCAGGTAGTTTCATTGAAAATCAAGCCTGATATTCATGAGGAGCCTGATATCAAAAAAGTAATAAACACGGGAATCAATCAGAGTTAAAATAAATTTGAATTGACCGAATGCCAAGCCCCCCCCCCCCCCCCCCCCACACAGTTACTGTTGCTGTGCTTGTCAAGCTTTCTGTATAGGTTTCCGTTCTTTCAATGTTAGCTTGGCGAGTAGGTTGAAAACGCCGTCCACCATTGACTTTTTAATACTTCCAGCTGACTTTTCTTAAATAACATCTTAACGCCTATAGGCCAAAATTAGGATAAACACTACATGGGGATCAGTTTAGAAGCTATTGAAATAGATTAATAGAATTATAGTTGTTGTTAGCCTTTGGATAATAAGTATGATAAGATGGGATTGTTATTTCATTCTAACACAACCCTGTTTGGCTGCTTAGCTTAACAAGCAATACAGATGTTAGATTTACCCGTTACAGGAGAAACCTCCAAAGAACAGCGGGTTAATGTGAGCTCTACATTCTGATGTAGCATCTAGGAGCAGCTTCCACACAGTGGCGATAATGTCAACTGGGCTCTTTTTTCAATGTAACCTGTAAACCATCAAAATAATGTAGTATGAAATGCTCATTGGCCTTGGAGGGAATGGTAGGTTAGTAGTGAGCGAGTTAGCCAGACATGCTAACATGCAATGTCATTTTTGTGGTTGCGGTGCCGCGGTCCGCCACTGGTAAAGACGAGTGGCTTGACAGGCCTGCTGTCCCTTACGGTTGCTAAACTGTATGATTGGGTTAAGAGTACAGCCATTTATACAGGGATATAAATAAAAAATAGATGTATATTTACATACATTAAAAAGGTGTCAGTTTGCAAAAAAAGTAAAAAAAACAATTGCCTCCCTCCATGTTCTTATTACTAAATAGAAAAACCGTTGCAGGATATTTAATCAATTCCCTGAGCGTGTTGTGTAACAGTCTTTTGATACGGCCATTCAATCTCCGCTAATCCTTCAATAATGAAGAGAGGAACCTCATTAAAGAGCCAGTGTTTCTGTTCCTCGGGGAAACGCAGCGAGGTGAGCAGAGTGGAATCTCTGCCAGGCGAACGGCGGACCTGTGAGAGCCGGGCCGAGGGAAACCCTGGGAACTTCACTGTATAGACGAGCATCTTACAGAGCCTCCAGAGCCGGGGCGCTCGCCTCCGCTTTCTGCTCGGATACACTCCTCAGACGGATTCTTCAAAGTCTGTATTTCGGAACGGAGAGGAGCGCTGACGTGGTAGAGAGCGTGAAGACTTGAAGGCTTATTTTTGAAGGGGGGGGCTATATATCATTTGAGTGGCAGTCTGAATGTGGGTCATTCTGCCTGAAAAACACAGTTAATCCCTCTTTTATTTCACAGAAGATTGGAGGACCAGCCAGTGATTTCTCAGCGTGTGTGTGTGTGTGTGTGTGTCTTGCAATCTGCAACATGTTGTATTTTTTAAACCGAGTGGACAGAAAAACTCTCCGAGGTGTGAGGCATGAAAACACAGCAGCCTTTGTTTGCCACAGTGTGCGAGTTTACCGAGGATTACAGAACAAACAGCCAAAAAAAACGTAATGCTGACTGAAAGAGACACCACTGTTTATTGCTAATCTGATTAAAGCACGGGGCATTGTGTTATCCACAGCTGATCAATTAAGAACCCAAATCACTTCCAGTGTGCTCACTGCTTCCTCTCCCTCTCTCTCTCTCTCGTCTAATTGAAGCCTAAGTGAAGGTGTGAAGTGAGTCTGCTGAACTTCACTTGACTTGGAATACATTTTCTTTGACTTTTAAGCCCTTTAACAATCACCTGTTCCACCCGTTGGGTTTTTGAATAAGCTCTGAAAAGAAGTCAAATCTCAAAAAGGATGATTTTCTCTCTCAGAGGGATTTTAATGAGTGGAGCACAGCAGCAGTAACCCTGCAATCATTCAGTGACTCACAATCAATCTGCAGGAACGTTGAATTAAAAGCAGCCAATACTCTTTTTAACGAAGAATACTCGAGTGGAAATAAAAACAATGCTGACAACTGGCATCATTCGTCTGAGTCATCGGTATAATTGCCCTCCTCTAAAGGCTGCCAACTCGTGGCATCTCAAGGCTACCAGAAGGGGAGAGTGCAGCTGGAAGACATCACTCTCTGCCCCTCAGCACGGACACACGAACAGCCGTATGCAGTTTAATTAAGGCTGGAGTTCATGAGGTATCAGCAGAACCCCGGGTTGTGTCGCGCTTCATTAGCCGTTATTCTCACCGCACTACCCCAGGCTGCCTGCATATATACACCCTGTGAAGAATCACACTGAGCTCTGTGCCAGCTCTGTTTGCTCAAGTCAGCAAAGGCACGTTTGTTCCAACAGCGATCGAACAGAGCTGCAACAGAGATATACTTCTCTGGAAGAAGGGGAGCAGACATGAACACACAAAACAACAACAAAACAAAGTCTTCTGGATGTCCAATCTCCACAAAGGGATCACAGCTCCTTCCATGCAGGTGTCAGGAGTCTACTGACACGTAAAGCCAGACTCCTGGTCATCACACTGTTGAGAACCCTTTTAATGCAGCAACACATTGGTCAAAACTATAAAAACATAGAATTGAATTACATGGATTGTGACCGATATCAGTATCCGTGCATCTGCAGGCCTTCATAATCATCCTGAACCAGTCAGAAGTGACTGCTCGTAGGCAACATATTCCGTAAGCCTGGCCTCATTATGGGACTATACAACACACAAATAAAGCACTAACAAGTTGCGTGTTAATGCTAATATTATAATCAGCAAACTCTTAATTACGTCCCCACGGTGATAATCATGTTTATGCACCGCTGCTCTTGAAAAACAAAAGCTCGTTCAAATAGAAAATTAAGAGCGCTTCACAACAGGACACAAAAACAGACTCTCTCCACGTTGAACTCATCTGCCCTCATGCTTTTCTTGTAACATCTGATTGTAAGTTGTGCTGTCTTTTTATTGAGACAAATTCTGCCATACAAAGCAAACGTAATAATCTCTGTACTTTTGCTTGTTTGTGGATAAAGAGCTTTAGTTTGCCGCATGGGACTTGAGAATTATATCTGACATCCATGCGTCCAGTGATCCTCAGCCATTTGTTATACTTTGTCCACCACATCTACATGTATGGCATCTATTAGTGGTGGGAATGGGTAAATCACTGTTTGGTTTTAATATGCCTTCTTACAGCTTGGTTTGATCCCTCTCTGTCATTTGCTGTGGACTGACGGTAAGTACACGGGCTCCTGCGAGCGCTCCCCTGTGGCCGCCGGCCACCTGCTCCAGAGTTTAACAGATGTGGCGGCCAAACGGGGGCTCGATCTGGGCCGTTATTAAAAAACACACAGCGTCAGGCTCCGGTGGCCGCGCTCTGATCTGGTCTCTGTACGCCGTCTGTGTCAAGCCTCATTACCGGGGGGGGGGGTGAATGGGGACAGGCTACATCTTTGCAAGTTCCTTTTTTTTTTGATGACAGGGGTCTCTGACAGCGGGGCAGGGGAGGGGCAGAGGATTGGAGGGATGGCGGGGCTGTCTTGTACTAATAGTTCCATCTAATGTCTCTGTCGGTCTGGTCCAGGGGAGATGTTACACTGAGACCATCTGGCGCTGTGACAACTTGGCTTCTTGAGCCGAGCGTGACATCTTCACTCAGGAATAGAGCTAATTGGGCAACGGCACTTGGTTCCAGCGGGCTCATTTGTAAACTTCTATTGCCCAGCAGATCAACCGTTTTTCGGTTTAAGATGCTGGTCCTCTGCACGGAACGGAGGGAGGGAATCGACAGTGAGAAACGGAGAAGCCTTAGAAAGCAACCGACTTATAGAAGACAATAGTCCAGATCAGTTTGCCGTGGATCCGAGTCCCCATCGCCGGCTTGCGCTGAGGCTCTAATTAAGCTCCAGGTCTTGTAAGAGCCGCAGCATGGCGCCACAGCCATTACAGAGTGCTTCTGGGGAGATTAAGAGCCCTAGAAATGTCAAACAGAGTTTCCAAGGCCTCTGCCTTAAAGTCCCTGACAAAAGCAGCTGAGCTTACATCTCCACATGGTGCTTACCTTTAGCTTTGAAGAGAGGACCGAGGAGAAGGGTCAAGTTTAAAAGGGAGCGCTGAGCCCGCCGCAGCTCAGGCCTCTAATGATCATAACAAAGAGGGAAGACACTTATCTAGAACGCCACGTTGGCTGCCTTTAATCGAGCTGAACAACGTTTGATCTCCAGCATAACTCTATTGATCAGTGCAATTCCTTTCGAGGAAATAATGTACACCAAAAGCTCTTTATTCATTCCACCCAAACACACGGCTAAAGTTAGCAAAAAAGAAAGAAAAAACCAGGCAAGCTTTTTTAATCCTGCCAGGATTGATAAGAATGCCTTCAGGAGCAGTCTGTTGACTTTTATAAAACAGAGCAGAAGCATATTTTTCACGCTTCCGACATGGGAGTTGGAGCTAAGGTGTTTAATGAACTGGAAAGATTTCAAGTGTTGGCGGATTATTAAGTCCTCAGAGAGATAAAGGGGGAGAGCAGAGAGGTGGGCGCTGTGCCAGGCTCACCGAACAAGAGGATCTGCCTGTATTACATCAGTAGGGAGAAATAAGACCTCCCAGACCCTCCTGAGACCCATCGCTTCAACGCAGTTTGTAAAGAGCTGTAAAGAGCTCCACAGTAACCTGCACGGTGAAGGCAGGCACGACCCTGTCGGCCATCATTAACCAGAGCTGCTAGTTGTACATTGTGAATGCACCTTCCAGTAGGACACATCTGTAATGATTAAACATCGTGTGTCCGAAGGCCGGACTGGTTGTGTCTGCTCTGTAATGCGTGCTGTCCTAGAATAATCATTGTGGTGTAATTAGCTAAAAATAAACATGGAAAAAGGTTTCGCAACATGGCCACCTTCAAAAACAACCAGAACAAAAAAAAGAAACAGAGTCCCGGCCGATCACAAACTCCTTCCGCGACTCCTTTGACAGCATCGGCATCATGAACCTCTTAAAAACAGAGCGTACATCCACAGTGCGTCAGAAATCATCTGCGTTATCTCTGCTGTCACGTGGGGGCCGCGGTGCTCGGCCCGTCTGAGGGCAGCAACATGTCGAATGACTTGTCGTGTTAAACCCGGCACGCCGACTCTCCCCTACGGAGCCTCGGGGGCAGAAGAACAGACTGCCGAGAGACAGACGGAGGACAACCGACAGGCACGTCGCCACTGTGACCGAGGAGACAGCGGAACAAAAGAAGTGACAGGCCTCTTCCATTAACCATGTTTTTGCTGTTATTAGAGGTCTGTTTTGGGGGTGGAGGAGTCTCTCTGACCCCAATATCAGCACCCATAATCCATTTATTCTGCCACTGTACACCATCTTTTCCTCGAGACACGCAAAAACCTCTTAGTATTTTTTGTTGTTTTGTTCATGAACAGAGCTGATCAAAGCCAAACTATTTGCAGGCACAATGTCAGCCTCCCCCCGCTATCTTCCCCTGACGGGAGGGAGAATAATGAGCGAGATCCGCAGAGAGCTCGATCATTACATTCATTTAAACCAGCCACTAGCCACCCGGCACCCTGTGCAGCAAATGGAGATGTAATTCGGTGTGATTGGAGGATAACACTTGGCCGGGGTCCATCACGGATGAAAAGAACGAGGAGAAAAGATGTGCAACACAGTCTGTCAGACTCGTACACCGTCTGCTGGTAGATGCTTTCACTCATTAGACCCGACTGCCACTTGAATCCAAACACTCTCACATGAATAACCCGGCGGTCTGAGTGAGCCGTCTCAATTAGAGTTGAGGAAGAACGGCAACATGCTGCAGGTTTTGTTCGGTGGGCACCACACGCCAGTCACGGTACACGCACATGTTCTCCACTGACGGATCAGAGAATAAAAGTTTCATTATGACTTTCTTTCTTTCCATTTCTTTCTTCAAATGCTTTTTGAGAACGGAATTGGAAAAGGTGGGTTCATACTGAGTTCACCTGATTCAGACAGAAAGGTATTAGATTCTGAATGTCTGAGGAGAAAAACAAAAAGAGCATTTGATCATTTTCAACACGAGTGCATCAACAAACAAACCCTGTCATGGCTTACTCATAAATCCATCACGCAAATTCAAATATCCTTAACCAAGAATATTTATTTGAATCGCCCACTTATCCGTTATTATAAAATAAAGCCCACGTTGATGTCTTGAGATTGTCAGCATTGGCTGACCAACTGTCCAAAATCAAAGATATTCAATTTACAACAATATAAAACAAAGACAAGTAGTTTATAGAAGCTCGAACCAGAACATGTTTGCCATCTTTGCTCAATTAATCAACCAACCAATTCATGGTATCAGGTTTGTACTAAAGTATGGTTTAAAGGGCACTTAAACCCCCCCCCCCCCCCCCCCAACAAGAACCAGTCCATGCTCTGGTGAAAACGCTCCCTCTGTGTTAATGGTGCATCTACAACAACGCTCGGCTCTATTTTCTCTGGTTTAAAATAAAAAAAGTGCAACACAAGCACGGCAGTGTTAAATATAAACTTTTTTTTTCTGTGTGTGTTAAAGTCAAACCGGCGTTAAAGCCGGAAAGCTCCGAGTCAGCATTCAGTCTACAATGAGGAGGTGGGCAGTGATCGGCGCACACACTAGCAGACACATTGAGAGAGCTGTCACCTCTTCATCACCACCACCCCCCCGCCCCCCATCCTCCTCCTTTAAAGAGCACCGCGCCACCTCTCGCTGACCCTCGCGGCCAGAGTTCAGGCTACTCAGCTGCAGGAGCTCCACACTCCACTCCACTTTCCTCCACCCTCCGCTCCCACTCAGCCGGTGACCCCCGGAGACATGAGCGCAAACAAAAGTCACAATACAAAACAAGCCTAAAACTGACTGTGGCTTTTGCCGAAAACAGGACAAAAAGTACAATCAGACAACCTGAAAAGAGTCCCTGAGGTTGTCTTTTCCTCCAGAGGCTAGGGTCACAGTACCTGGCAGACTTCATAGAGTAGTTTATAATGCTCCTCGGGCTTCTGCAGGGTACAGAGGCTGCATCCCATGGTGGAGGAGATCACACCATCCAGGCTCCCCCCCCCTCCGGCCACTCGAGACGGTGGAAGCAGATCTGTTCTCCTTCTGCTCCCTCAACGGACTGCCTCCGTCCGCTCGCAGACACACGACAACTCTGAGGGGGCCGACAGGATTGGCTTCCCACCCCCGGCTTGTGGCTGGATCTCTCCGCTCAGCCTCGTCTCTCTCTCTCTCTCTCTCTCTCTCTTACCCCCCCTACCCTTCCTCGCCTCACATGCTCCCTCCCTCTTCGACGTCCCTCCAGCTTTCTGCTGAGCTTCACGGGGCCCAGCAGCCAGAGCTCGGCCTAGCACACGCCCCCCTCCTCATGTTTATTAAGCGGCCGCTCATTGATTATTCATGAGGGGGGGGGGGCCCAACGTGTGAGATGAAGTCCTCCTTATTAAATTACTTTTAGTTTGAAATCCAAAGTGGGACAAGAAGACCTTCATCCATGATTTCAGGATCGAGCTCCACATACTTGTGATTCAAACCCTTTTGCCGTGCCCCAGTTAAATGAGCGCTTGGTGACCTCTGGTACACTAATCCAGCAGAAAGAGACTGTGCATTCTTTCCTGTCTCTCCAAATACACAGGCCCAAAGCCAGGTGAAACAAATAAACCAGCTACATGTTTATGCTGTCCCTCTCCAGTGCAGGCACAACAAGCCCTCAACCCAGCGGAGCGTCTTGTGCTCAGCACCATACGGTAACGTTCTCTGGGTCCTTCTTGCTGCCCTGTGTGCAGACAACAGGTATGTCTCCATAAGGCAGACCTGGCATCTGTCCTGCTGTGTGCTCTGGTGGACACACACACACAGCCGACCAAAGACACATTGAAGACATTTCAGGGCAATGAATCCGTAAGGGTCAGAGATGGAACACTTTACATTTCTACAGGCAGAAGACGTGGTACAGAGTTAATAAACCCTTTTGGAACGCAGGAACTTTCCCCAAAGACTGGAAACCTTTTAAAAGAAGTGCTTTTCGACCGCAGGGACCAGGGTCGAAGTAAAGTTCCTGGGACGAAAAAGGCTCTGTTCAAGGGTGGTACTTTCTGAAAGTACAGGAACTTTCGGGGTTGGGTTTGAAGTGATGATTGTCCCCGATTAGTCAAACACACACACAGCGCCGCTGCTTCAACTCGTGCTTCATTTATAAAACCAACAAGATTTAGGACCATTTTAGGACGATGGGGAGAGAATTTCTCTTTGTTTGATTACATTAAAAGTAAAGTTGGGGCTTTTCTGTCTGCTTTCCGACTCATTTAAAAAAGAAAGAAATTGCGAGCGAGCTGCAAAGGAGAGAGGTAGAAGAGAGAGAGACAGCGCGGCGGTGATTTGATTATCAGAATGATGATATATGGAACTGCAGACAGCAATAGGCAGAAGGAACCTTTTAGTTCCTAAAGAAAGTAGTCCCGGGCCTAAAATCACGAGAAACATCTTGGTGGAAACGCAGCTAATGGAACCAGGGTGCAGTAATTGACCCTATGGTGTCTCTGTTCACCCCTTCATGATTCAATCCCACTCTCGCTGCGATTTCGGTTCAATTAATTCCGCGGCGATAAGCCACATACCTGGATAGGCTCCGTGGCAGGAGGGGGATGGAACCACGCCTGCTGGTGATTTCCTCCTGCCAGATGTGTCCGCTGATCCCTATCTATCAGCGCTTCCACACTTCCTTCCTGCACCCTTTTCGAGACAGCTGCATTTTTTTTTGGTGAGGCTCGAAGGTTTCCAGTCAAATGTAAAGAAAATGTTATGCAAATCTTTTCAAATACCACAGAAGACAAACTGCGAAGGCTTCACATCACGTGGAATAAAACCACATCAGAGACACCGAGCAACATGAAAGCTGCTCTCAGGTTGTCCATTGGTGTGAATGTATGTCCAGCATTTCTGGAAGGTTTTGGCGACAAACACCGCTGCGGTATTTTGTTAAATGCACTGCCGCAGGTTGTTCGGGCACAATTTGTGTATTGGCTGAAAAAGCACCCCTGAGCAAAGTTTTTACTCTCTCAGAATTCACCATTTCTATTCACTTCCACAATTTATAATTTACATAAAAATACTTGGATGGGATTTTGGCTAATGAGATTTCACTTTCCCATTTAATCCATATTTGTATTCCGTCCAACAGCTGTTAACCAAAGGCTGTGTTCAAATAAATCCTCATCTTTTTCCCACAACCATGAACACGCAGAGCACTGGAAAATCAAAAAAAAAGAAAGAAAAGAGAGAGATCCTAAAATGAGATCCTTCAGGCAGAAGAAGCGATGGTGACAAAACGTTGCCTCGGGCAAACGGCGAAGGTATCTGTGTGAACTTAACAATCATTCATAATTACTGCAGGCTTTGCTCGTCCGGGCGCGAGGCTCACACTTTCATCCAGCAGCAGCATGACGAACTAATTCTACGCTCACATTAGCCGTGCTGTTGTGCCCGGGGCTGGGATCGGCTAATCTCGCTCTCACACTGAGATTGTCCAATTCACAAAGTCAAAAAAAAAACGCAGATGCTGCTCGGATATGAACGGCCGCACTAAAGATTATGGCAGTTGTTGCAGGAAAAACCCCAAAACCTGTGTATTAATGAATAATCAGCCGGAGTGAAACACAGAGCAGAGAACCTGAATGCACACTGGCCGTCATTGTGTTCAGTGATTTAATTTTGCAGGTGCTGATTAAATGTCTTGCCCTCGCTGGTGACGAAACCCCCCCCCCCCTCTCCTCCGTCCCTGAGGTTTGATCTGTGGGCTCAGCGGAGAGAAACACGCACACTTCAGCTTTCATTCATTACTGGTCCAGACGGTGACACAGTGTTCGGAGGTTCCTATCTCAGCGTGAGCGAGACCAAACGATAACAATGTCGTGCGGTTTGTTATCATCAGCATCCACATTTACTATTTTTTAATAGAGACAGGAGGGCTAGAGGTTACCACATCCCCTACCAATTAGCAACGTGGCGCTTGGATCCTGTGCATTTGATCTATGCTTGGTTGGATCATTGATATTTATAGAGAATGCCTGGTGTTGTTTCGGCGTCCCACTGGGCCCAGTTTAGGAGTCAAGGCTTTAACTAGAGCCGCGGTGGGATCAGATGGCGTACGGTGTCTCTAACACATCGTCTCCCCACCCTCTGAGCTCTTTATGCTCCTCACATCCAACTACAAAGCCAGGAATCTCCGTCTGTCTGCCTGTGTGTCCTTCGCGTATCTCCAGAACCGTTCACCTGATCTACTTCACACTTGGCGGGTGCATTGCTGGGGACCCAAGGAAGAGCACAAATGATCTTTTTACGGTATGTGCAGGACTATTTCTTTGCTGGTCAAGAAATAGTCTGGGATGGGCCAAAATCAGGCGTGGCAGCGCTACAACACGAAGCACGAAGTCTTCTAGGCACAAAGTCTTTTGTTCCCTCATGGCTGGCTGCACAGCTCTGGATCGCTGGTCACGTGATTGGCCACCGCAGCTTGACATTGTGTTGCATTTTTCCAAAAGTGAATTCTGTTTCAACTTTTCCACACAGGCCACTCTTTTTATTTATTTTAGGCACCGCCTGTGGTTCAAACCACTGCAAGTTAAACGCACAACTGAGCAAAATGGTGATAAAGCACGTTTCCAAAGAAACTATACCTTTTATGATTATCTCAAGTTTTACAGTGTGTGACTGGGGAGTAATTGCATATCCATTAACCCTCACTGTCTTCAGTCCACATGATGGAGGCACTGCAGGTCCGCCGAAATTAATGTAACCTGACCTCAGCATTTCATCTTGGCACGTGGCAAAATGCCAAGCCATGTATCTCTACATCGTGGGAAGCCAAATCTCGATGATACGAACGGAGAAAGATGTTTGTTTTTTTTAAAAGGTGGACTTAACAGGGAGTGGAGACAACGCAGAAGGTGACAACGTGGCAACATGTGGAGAAACAGGACACCGATGGCTGATTGTGATAACACAAGGAAAAAGCATGATGTCCAGGTCCTCTCGCACGACTCTAATGCACTGTCCAGACGGCAGGATGAGGGGAGGGAGGAGGGAGGACGAGGAACGATAGAGTGACGAGGGGAAAACTAAATTGGCCACATATTGTGAATCCATGAAGGGAATGTCCTAGTGTGGCTTCTCATTTGTATAGAGAGTCATTGTTTTGTGCATCAGCAGAAGCTGGATTAACGCCACTTCACGTCATAATACTTGAGGCCAGAAGAAAGAAAAAATCCGGACTTTCCACTGTCAACTGTATTATTTTTGTGGGGTGAAACCACAAATGCTGAGTAACACAAACAGGCAGATGCTTAAATTTCCCTTTTTCCGACATGACTGCAGGGACAGACTTGTCTCAAGTGGGACGCTACTTAAAGCCAAGTGTACCACCTTCTAGTAAGGTCCCCTTTATGAAGTTGGTGTTTTTCACTTGACAAAAAGTCACTGAGTCTGCAGTTATAGGTAGTGATATTATGGAGGATGTGGGATCCAGCATTTTTGGAGCTGGATCCATACTAGAGATCGCAAGTGAAACCATCTTGGCTGCTGCTCGATTTCGACCATTTATCTTTTAATCTGTTTTTAGCAAATTCAAAACTAAATCCCCAGAATTCCCCTTTAATGAAGTATTTCATTAAGTGTTAAAAGCAAGATCAAGTGTTATGCTGGAGCAAACCAAACGTTATTAATAATGGTTTACAATGAACCTATAAAGCAGATAATTATCGATCGAACTTTAATAAAGCCATCAGCTACAAATTATGGAACCTTTACAAGGTTTCCTGGATAATTTCACTGCTTTATTATAAAGTGGAACTAAGCAAAGTTTGCTCGTGCGCAGAACAAATAAGATGTCACACTGAACTGCTGAATAAGACTCCTGTCTGGAGCATTGATTTTCCCTGTAGACCGGGATTAGGCCTCCACCGAGTTGATTTTGGCTGTATATATATTTGTCCCCCTTCAAATGGTTTGGTTTCAGCCCTCTAATCTGTAGACGATACGAGAGGAGAGGGGAGCTACAATGCCCCCGTGTTAATGGAGATACCAGATGAGCGAACGGGAGCAGAAAGAGGGAGCCGGAGCGAACACAAGGGATGTTAAAAAGAAGGTGCGAAGACGACGGACACGCGAGACGGAGAGACGCTCGGTAACCACAGAGGAGGGGACGGGGTTTAATGAGTCTCCAGTCCCTCTCAACTGTACCGCTGGGGCCTGAGCGGCATGAGGATCTGTGTATGCATGTGGGTGCCTGTGTGTGTGTGTGTGTGTGTGTGTGTATCCACCTCTGAAACACTGGGCTGTGCATAATTTATCAGACAGCTGTCAGCTTTGTACTGCTATTTACACTGCCAGCCAGATCCTGTGCCAACAGGGAGCCCAGCCAGCAGGAATGACAGCCACCGAAACTGTTTAATTGGAGACTCAAACAACTAATAATGCCATCGCTATCACTTCAGTGTAATTACTTAATTATGAGGGGATGCTTACACGACTGATGTGTTGAAATCCCAATGTATGACACTGGATTTTTTGGGGGATTTCGATTTCGGTTCACAGAAAAATCTCTAAACCTGTTTTTCAAGCTCCCCGAGGCTGTTTCCCATTATCCAAAGCCTGACAGTAAAATGCAAAGAATTTCACTCTGTGCTGTTTAAAATCATCTTCATATTTTGGAGCTTGGAAAAAAAAACCCTAAAAAAAACACATGCTTCAGGCATGTGTTGCAGTGCGGCCACCGAGGAGGTGGTGTACACAAACATGACGCAAAAGCAATTATCAGTTTGTGTGTGTGTTCATCAGACTGGGACCTCTGTCCCTCTACCAACTAGCGGGAACATTACCCCACTTACTTCTCAAAACAGAAAACTCTGTCAGGTTCTTCAAACAAAAACAAACATCACTCGCAAAGGAGTATATGGAGGAGAGCGTTCTGGCTTTTCTAAATGAGCCAAGTATTTGTGCCAAGTGGATGCAGGCATGCGGGCGGGATGACTTGAAGTGTAAATTAATTGGTCTCTGTGCAGACACACTGGCTCTTGCAGCGATTCTCTTGGTCGGGTCCCTTTTAACCCACCACCACCTATAACACACCTGTATTTAGCTCCATAATAAGCCAGGTAACATTACCGCCTAACCTTTGGTACTATAAAAAATACGTTATGATGGCGAGGTATAATAAAATAATATTTACAGCTAATTATCCAAATGCCATGACATTCCTGCAGGAGGTAACTCATGGCGCGTGTCAACACAGTTATTAGGCAGGATATTAAAAAGAGTTAATATTTCATCCCGTCTACTTCGGTGATGTGACTCCACTCCGAGGGTCCCTGCAGGTCAACTCTGCCAACTCCATGCAGAGTTCCTGTCACCAGTAAATTCCCAAAAGCCTTCATCGCTCCCGGCTGCCGCGGCATGTTGGCAGCCAGAGTCACCAACGAAAGAGCCTCCAGCTACACTGGTTGCAGAGTGAGGAGGCGCGTGGGCGCACACACACTGCTGATACAGCCAGCAGAGGTGGGCGCTCAAAGAGAAATGGCTCTGGACCGAGACTGCAGAGAGGCAATCGGAGTGTTTGAGTGTTTAAAGATCACTTTTTATTGTTATTTACAGCTGTGGTTCATTAATCGCACGGTTGGCCGTTCAATCTTGCAGAAGTCGTCTTTCAGCAACCATTGCTTCCAATAGACAGGCAAAGTCTGCAGTGTACAAATCATTTTTTGATCCATTTTGAATTGGGCCATGAATTACTCATATGATGTTTCTCAGTTGAAAAGATAATTGTGCTAGTCAAGAAAGTCTCATTTCGTCATTGAACTGTTGAAGTACAAGACTTAATTTGAAAGACTACATAATTAAAAGTCGCGTAAGTGACGTCTGGGGCTGAAGCTACGGTACCGGGTCGTACTCAGACAAACAGGTCTCGCTCCTTCTTCTTTCAGGTAAAAAGAGCCGTTGAATAAAACACATCAGGTAAGCTAAACGTTACACATGTGCAAGCCAAGTTAACGGGCATGCTGGTGAAGTGCACTGTGCGAGACGAGAGATGTGGTTCACCGAGCCGAAGATTTTGCTTTAAATTGACAAACATCACATGTGTAATTCATGGCACAATAAAAAACGGGACCAAAGAGTTATTTGTCTCTCGCCTTCGAGTACTGTACAGATTTCTTTCCAAAATAAAGTCCCATGGGGAAAGCCTGGGTGAGACAAGGCACATATGCAAAACACCCTAACACCCGGGGTGATGCCTGAGGTCTTTTAGCTATTTGGAACTTTTCCATCCATCCTTTTAACCCATCTAATACAACCAGAACCGCCTTCATGATTATAAGAGCAAGCTGGACAGAGCCAGAAGAGACTACTATGAATCCAGACAGCGACATCAACAGGACATGGGTGAAACTGAGACCAGTCCACCCCCCCCCCCCCCCCCCCCCCCACACCAAGACCAGGGACACACATCATTACGATTTACTTACAACATGAAGGTAGGCTGGATGTGTTCACATTTTCCACAGCCATTGGCAGCTGCAGAAAGGAACTTGCAACTATTATCAAATAAAAGCAGACCCCTTGACAATATCTATATGTAACGGCACATTTAGTTTTGTAAGGGGGGGGGGGTGTAAACCTGTTTGATCGAGAGGTTCCGAAGAGTGAGTTATAGCCAAAGGTCCATGTTCAGCCCTCGATCTCATTACATTACAGTGCTCTTCCAAATGAAAAGCTCTGAGTGGGAGCGGGGGTCATTGAGAGGTAACTGACTGACGTGTTGGCTGACATCACTCAAACGTCTCAAAAGTCAGACGGATGGCCGGGTTTAACTGCACAAAGTCGGCTTTGACGAATGGGACCCAGCACCCTGGAGGCGGACAATGTTATTTTTACACACAATGTCTTTTAAGCACTCCACGAGAGTTTAAATGGAATTGCTAGCGATGCTAACTGGATGTCTCGACCGCTCGGTAAATCTCTTTTCTGCGTGACCCCCCCGCGACCCGTGAGATGGGCCGAGGCAGTGACCTCCGAGGCCTTCTGGGCAGTGGGGGCCCGATTCACAGCCACCCTGTTGTTTTTGCCGAGCCAGTCGGTAATTTGAAAGCGGGAGATGTTCAAACGTGTCAGACTCCAGTGGACGTATGGATCATCGTGAATGACAGTTGACTTCATAAACCTCTACATGCAGAGGTAATACACAGGCAAGATGGAAGAGCTTTTAACCACGACACTTGTTCTCCATGTTCCCTTGGCAGAGAAAAATGGTTCAGACCATTTGCTTTCTGGGCTTTTTAACATCCACACATAGGAAGCCTCCAATGTAATGGTTGGCAACATTGTGCTTTAGATGAACACTGTATCTTTAACTATTATAGGACTTTTAAAAGGTGTGCAATGACAAGTTATACACTAGATATCATCATTGGCTAAGAAATCCCACAGGATACCCGAGACAATTTTGGTTTGATGATGACAGCTGACCTTTTGGATTCGACCAAACCGTCAAATTAATTTTCTCCTTGAACGTTAAAATGTCTTTGAGCAACAGATTTAACGCTGATATGGTGACTTCAGCTTATCTGTCCTTGCTCTTAATGCTTTATCCTTCACATGTAGCCCCAGGGTTGGGCTTTAAAAGATTACATACTGGAAGATTGCATTGTTCTCATCGGGGGAAAAGAAACATCAGGCTGTAAAGGTCAAGCTGCAAATGCTGTCAAATTTCTTAAAATGCATTTAGTTTATACATTTTCAGATTATGAGATGACTATCAATATTTAGCGTCATTGTCAAAATTGCTACAAATTTGTGACCAGTAAAAAATGCACAATTGCCGTAGAAGCAAGTAGCAGTTTAAATGTGGCAGAATTTTACATTGCTGTTTATGCTAACAGTCATGAGAAGTCGTTACTGAATGTGATTTTGGCAATAAACTCCTCTCAAATGCTTCCCATGACACATCTGCTCATGACGATACACACCAGATTTGTCCGAAGTAAATTTAATTACCGACTCTCAGGAACTCTCAAGTCTGTGCAATGTCCCCGTTCTCCACTCGTGATCCAACGATTACCCTAAACAGCCTTTTAACGAACCGAATGCTAATTCCGTTATCCCGAATGGAAAATTAATTTGTGACATATGTCAATAGATGTACTGCAATGATTGTGCAAAGTGGTTCTAAAAATGCAAATAGAAGCATTCATGTGTTTTTCAGAAAGTGTCCTAATGCTATGCAAAGCATTCAGAGAGTTATGAATTAAAATGAACATTTGAACGCAACTGCAAAAGTATGTTCATGCTGTTATTTTCCTGTTTATTTTCCAAACAGACAAAAGTATGAGAGCTTTTAATAACGATTCATAACGAAGCCTCTTTTTGTTTTTTAGTATGCTGGGCTTGAGTGAATGAAGGACATAATGTGCTTCAGTTATGGTGACACATTTGGCTGGCAGGACAACAAGAAAATACTAATATTCAATATGGTTGAAAGCATTTCATTTCAGACCCAGCCAGTGGGCTCAGTGCATCTCACATCAAACTGGGAATTGGAAAATGGCCCCAAAGTGCAGGTTTCTCCTTTGATGCTCCGAGCATCATTAACCCAAATATAGTTTCTCGAGAACTGTTCCCACCAACACGTCTTCAGAAGGAGTGTGTTTGATTGAAAATCACACACACTCCACACTTCTCCCACTTCAAAAAATTGAAGCGTGCTTTTAAGCAACCCAAGTCTGTAATTTCCATCTCGTTTCGACTTCATTTGCGCTGAAGTACCCTGCAAATGCTGCCTTCACAGAGCACACTGCTGCGGTGATGCTAATAGTATACCGTGTCCATTAAGAGCGGGAGAGAGAACCGTCTTCTCTTTGGTGAGGAGCAGGAGAGCAAGGGGAGGGAGACACAAGAAAAGGGCAGGGGTTGGGGGTGCTAATGCGGGGGAAAGGAGGGAGAGAAGGGAAAGATGGCTGTGGTTTAATGAGGAGACAGTGGTTTTAGGAGCGAGCAGAGGGGGGTGGCTTGATCTTTGACCTCTCGGATCCCTCGGTGCGTGTGACAGCCCCGAGTTCAGACGGAGGATTAAGGTAATCAAGGGTAGTAATGAGAACAGAGCACACATTCATGAGCCCGGAGACTCCCCGAAAGCAACACCTCTCTCCTGAGTGTGTGTGTGTGTGTGTGTGTGTACCAAGACATCATCGTTGCCTGTGGTGGTTTACTTCGTGACAGAAGGGAGCCGCTGCAGACAGATATACTGTAGATGTGAAGAAAGAATGCCAATGGAACCCCCAACCCCCCTCCAATAATGGGATACCTAGCCTTTGTCCCACTTTCCAAGGACACGCGTCTTTTAGCTGGTAGCCTACAGACGACATTTCAAACCCACTTGACAGCAATGAGTTATTGGAAGGAGGATATTTGAGGCTCGAAAATCACCTGGTTACCCGAGGTGACACTACGCCGTGGCGAAAAAGTTAATGCGAAACATTCGCTTGCTCCAGTTCCTGAAATGTGAAGAAGTTGGAACCGACATGCAGTTATTCACCATTTTGTGAAATTTCATGGACTAAAAGAAAGAATCAACAGATTAATTGGCAATGAAAATAACTACGAGTTGTTGCCATACTTTGCAGATAAATCAGGGAAGCAACTAATGATTATTCCCATTGAAGATATTTTTCTTGATCAATAATTATGGTCATTCATTTGGTCTATGAGGTCATCAAATCTCTTGTTTTGTATGAACAGTCCAAAAGCCAAAGACAGTAAAGACGTTACCATGATATGACAAGGAAAAGTTTGGTATCTTTGAATTTTCTGTTGATATACTAATTATTACCACTCTAAAATGAATGGTTTCTATTGGATCAAAGAGCGTCCCCAATTACTCCTAACCAATAATAGCTAACCAATAATAGTTCGCAATAATGAGCTGACGCTCATTGGGCAGTCGGTCCGACCCCGTCTACATCAGCGGGCTTGTTGGCCCTGCGGCTCTGGTGGCTCAGCTACACACAAAGTCATGTTACGCAACCCGAGCCGGGCCGAGAATGTGATTTCCCCCCGTCCGGCACGGCTCTTAATGCCGCTCTTGATGTCTAACGAGTACGAGGGCTCAGGTGAACTGGAACTTTTGTTCTCTCTGGTAATGAGATTATTTGTTCAGATGGGAGTCGGAGGGGCAATAATGAATGTGGGCCAACAGTTTGGTTGAAGAAGGTGAAGAGTAAAAAGCTCAGTTACTGTGGAACATTTTTGTGAAAATCTTGTGATAAGCTCCGTGGACAGGAATGAACCAACTCAGTGTTAGGAAATCCTGAAAACATTGTTTTGGCACTTCAAACTGGAGCAGTGTCTGTAGTTTGGTTTAGTTTTGGATTAGGGATTTGCAAGTAAGGATACAATATAAAGAAATAAGGTATCCCAAAAATCCAACATAAATAGCGATATCACAAAAAGAGAGTAACTGGACTTTGTAGACCTTTTTTTTCAAATCCTTATGCTCAGCACGGTAGCATGAAGAGGTACAACAGCCAGTTTGTTTCCCAGGAGACACCCCGACAAGGCCAAGAGAGAGGAGGCACCTTAAAAGGCTATGCTCCGTCTGCAGCCGACTGGTGGAACATGACTTCATTTTGGGGTCGGCACAATCTTTTCAACAACTTCAAAAATCCCGGCTCCGGTCTTAACACCTACAAAGGTCACGTTTAAGTCCTCATAATGAGGATGCCACATGCCGATATCATCTTTCACAGGCTCCATTTGACCGATGCTAGTGTTGGATGGAGTCACGTTCAGCGGTGCTCATCCCTGCCTTTTTTTAAATCACATGTTTTCAATTACCCCGGGAGTGCACAGAACCAACTCGTGCTGTAATTCAATGAGAACACAAAGAGGCGGGTTGAGAGGGAGGGGGGCATTGTCCCGGGACAGCTGAGTGACAGGGGTGAATCTTTTGGACCTCGGCACGCACAGTGGTTACTTTGTACCTGTCAGTCAAGCCGTGACACGGACAGCCTGTTTGGGGGGGGGGGGGGGGGGCTCGGGGGACGCCTCTAGAGGCGAGCGAGGTGAGAGGTCCTCCGCCACAGGGCGGCCCCCCCCACCAGCAGGTGACTCACCACCCTACAGCTTGAAAAAAAAAAACTTCAAACAATGAGAGGGGCCGAGCAGCTGGCTAGTGTGACACAGCAGTCGAGCGAGTTGGGACGACTACGCACTATGGCTCCTCAAAAACCTTCAGCGACGTTTCAAGAGCAGCCGGGACAACACTGAATTAAAAAGAACAGACCGGCTTTTTACTTTATGTCAATACCAGACTGAAAAAAAGCATATGATAATTCTGTTTCACAAAAACTTTATGTTGTAGCACATCTTTTCTCACCAGAACTTTCGAAGGTGTTACAAATATTTGGCA